TATTCAGACTTACATGTTAAGTCTTTTACTCCATGTTTCTCTCATGTCTATTATTTTATTGATTTTCATTCCTTACATGCTCGGTACATTATTTGTACTGACATCCCTTTTGCCTGGGGGATGCTGCGTTTCATGTCGGCGGGTCCCGATAGACAGGTTGAGAGTCCTCCGAGTAGGCTATCAGCTTAGCTGAAGGTGTTGGTGCGCTCCATTTGTTCGGAGTTGCTTCTTTGGTCAGTATGATGAGTACATGTATTGATTGGTATGGTGGGACCCTGTCCCGATCTTTGTGATATTATGTACTCTTAGAGGCTTGTAGACATATGTCATGTATTCGGATAATTGTATGGCCTTGTCGGCCTATGTTTTGAGTATATAAAGGATCATGCCGGCCTTATAGGCCCGTACGTCATATGTATAAGTTTGAATTACATGTTGGGTCATCCAATGTCGAGTATTTCCTCATGTTTTATTCTTCTTATCTCACGACAGCCTCTCTAGCTCATTTACCTATGATAGTATGATACGAAAGATACGTTACATTGGTACTCGGTTGAGTAAGGTACCGGGTGCCCGTTACGGCCTATCAGTTTGGGTCGTGACAAAAACACTCACTCCAACTCACTAATTGATTGTGACACTTTGATTACAACTCAATTTCCTAAAATACATTCACTAGACTTACTCAAGAAGAACACAACAGTGGTACTCGACTAGTGTGTGTAAACTGTAGTTCTTCAGTTGATGTGCAAAAGGATATTCTCAATAGTCCAGAAGGATAGTATTTAAATTGCCTGGACTCCAAGATCTTCTAGGAGTCGTATGCGTAGTCAGCTTCTCGCTTTATCTGACTCCTACTGTTCCAAGGACTCCAAAAGTCTTGGGACTTTTATCTCTCACTTATTCATGCGTATCTTCTTGGGCAACTAACCCTTATCATATGTAGCAGTATTCTTCCACCAAACTCGGACCTGAGTAACTTTAAGATAAATTTATTGTCTTGCAAAGACGCACACTCATCATCTATGAAGATATGGTTCTTAACCCTGAGAAGCTGGTTCTTAGGGCGGTTAAGCAACTACGTTGAGGACCTGGTTCTTAGAACATTTCATCTGAACAAACTTTGTTAATCATCAAAACCTCAATATTCAACAAATTCTCCCTTTTTGATGATGACAAACTTTGTACATACTAGAACCAGGTAATCACACCAAATCATGATCAACATGCACATCACACCAGGCACATCACATCAACATGCACATCATACCAACATACAAACATATCTACACCAGCATACAGAATAACTCCAACTCTATCTTCTCCCTTTTGGCATCATAAAAAAGTAACAAAAAAATTGTTAGACATATTAAGCACAGTTAATGCAAGATTCATGACGGTACAATCTACAACACAAGCTCAAGAATTATCAAAGCAAACAGACTAAGATGAAGATCTAACCACGTGCGAAACATTAAAACATTATAAGAGAAGTCATTTACTAGTGCCAAAATAAGCTCAGGGCCTTGTCTTAAACCATTAGAACAAAATAAACTAAACATGTTGCAACCTACTCAAACTAGAACAGAGGAAACAAAAACTAAAACATCATCGGGATAACAAAAGAAACTAAGGACAATGGGGGAAGGACCAGGTTCATGGGTGAGAGCTAGAGGGGGTCATGTTTTCACAAGGGTGGCAATCTGTTGGGCATGAGCTTCCCTATCCCTTCTGAGCTCTTCCCTAAGGTGCCTAGTTTATTTTCTCAACTCATCATTGTCTTCTCGAAGCTTGCATTCTCCTCAACAGCCAACTCCAACCTCTTAGTGAGCTCTGTTGCCCTGCTGCTACCAGGTAGAATAGCAGACCTTGTTGGTCCTCTAGCCTTGATCTCCTTATAGCCACACTGCTTGAGGGTAACATCATCCAAAACATCATTGTGATTTCCAAATTTAAGTTTAGGCAAGGCAATGTTGAGCTAGTCAAATAGCTCAATCAGCATGAGGCCATAAGGCATTACTCATCATGGTCACAATTATGGCCATCAGTTGTTTTTTAGAAATAACATGAATGTTTTCTTTCAAGTTAGAGATACTTACCTGATTTGTTTCATCTTCAGTATCTGAATTACTCATGGGCCATCATTCCTATCACTTCTTCTTCTGTTTGAGTTTCTTCAATCGCATCAGTGCCACTTCAATGTTTTTATCTCCAAAATCAGCTTCTGAGGTCCTTTATATATCATGGGCAGAGATCCATGAGGACACCTTGTAGAGAACATTTCTGAACAAACTTCTATAGAGCAGGTCCTTTGCTTTAGCATTTTTCTAGATTAGCTGACGATCTTCATCATCATATTCCTCTTCTCTCTTGGTATATTTGTTACCTTCACCATCCATTTTGGTAGGGATGATTGGTCCATGACTGACAATTACCAATAGGTTAAAGTCATTGGCCTGTGTACTCCCAACTGTACTAGAGGTTCTATTTTCATTGTCTGATGTTCATTAATTACAGCATAGAGACTTATGGCCTCATCCTCGTTCTCTTCCTCTTTATCACTTCCACTATCCTTATATGCTGCTAGAAAGGCCTGTTTTATTGCTTCAGTGAATCTTTTACCTAGGATTTTTCTTTTGTTGGGACTCTTTCCTCTCATCTTTTCTTGTTTCTCCTTTTCAGCTCGTTCTTTCCTCCAAATTTCCAACATTGGCCAGTCCTTGATCATGTTGTCTAGCTTGCTACACTTGTAGTACCCATCATAATTATTTTTGTCGATCTGCATAGGCTTACCGCTGGTCTCTCTCTTAGATGCATTTTTGGAGTTCTTCATGAACTTCTTGACTTAGCAAACATTGCTAGGTCAGGATCATCACTGTCAGATTCATCTTCCTCAGACGCCTTAAGGACCAAGACCTTATCCCTCTTTGATTCTTCTTTACGCAGTTCTATCTTTCTCATTTCACGAGTCATTAAGTTTCCGACCAACTCATCAAGTGAGATCTTGTCCAGTTCATTGGATTCCTGAATAGCTGTGACTTTTGATTCTCTTGAAGTTGGAAGGATCCTTAAACACCTTTTCAAGTAACCTCATTTCATTAGTTATTATGATAAACCTAGTCATCATCTCTTGGATGGGCTCAGACTCCTTCATAGAAAAGAGCTCACAGTTTCTCATATGTAATTCTATCCTTGATCTCTTCACTTGGTTTTTTCTTTCATGAGCAGTTTGGAGTACATTCCAGGTCTCCTTTGCATTGGAGCAAGCATATATTCTGTTGTACTCATCAGGACCAAGTCCACAGATAAGGATTTTCTTAGCCTTTGCGTTATTCTCTATCATTCTGAAATCTGCTGCCACAAATTCAGAGGGGTCCTTAGGAACTGTTTCACCTCGCGCATTTTGTTTAATAGGAGTTAACGGACCTTTGTTCATATGATCCATAGTTTATAGTCCTCAGCTATCATGAAATCTTTCATTCTTGCTTTCCACCAACTGTAATATTTTTCATTGAACAGGGGCGGTCTGGTAGTTGATTGTCCTTCATTAACTTCGGGTGGAGCACTCATTTTGCTTTCAAGATCTCTCTAGGTGTTAGCCGTGTGTGTGAGAGAACCTGCTCTGATACCAATTGTTAGTTTGAGTGCCCTTATGAATTACTAAAGAACTTGGTTTTTTACGTTACTCCTTAAACGTGAAGTAAAATAAGTAATAAAGTAAAAATAGTAATTCTTACGTGAAAAATCACGTGGCTCAAAGGTGCAAAAGCCACGACATACTGCGTAGGATTTTCAACTTCAACTCCACTAGAAGAATGAGCCAAATGTATCGAGTACAAGATTGTAACTCAAGATTCTCCAGTACTCCTACTACAACTATTTGATTTACAAGTTACTCTAACCTATAAAGCAAACACTCACTCCAACTCACTAATTATTTGTGACACCTTGATTACAACTCGATTTCCTAAACCACATTCACTAGACTGACTCAAGAAGAACACAACACTGGTACTCGACTAGAGTGTGTAAAATGTAGTTTCTTCAGTTGATGTGCAAATGGATCATCTTAGCAGTCCAGAAAGATAGTATTTAAATTGCTTGGACTCCAAGATCTTCTACGAGTCCTATGCATAGTAACTTCTCGCTTGATATGACTCCTACCGTTCCAAGGGCTCCACAAGTCTTGGGACTCTTGTCTCACTTATTCATGCGTATCTTCTTGAGCAACAACTCTTATCATGTGTAGCAGTCTTCTTCCACCAAACTCGGACCTGGATAACTTTAAGATAAAATTACTGTCTTGCAAAAACGCACATCATCTATGAGGAGCCGGTCCTTAACCCGAAGAAGCTAGTTCTTAGAGTGGTTAAGCAGCTACGTTGAGGACTTGGTTCTTAGAATATTTCATCTGAACAAACTTTGTTAATAATCACTTATTATGGATAGGAGGAAGTATCTAACAATGTCATTATTAATAACTAATTACACTACTCCCAAGTGCATTGAATCCTTTAAACTGAAAGGAAGTGTTTTCTTTTCAATTGCTCATGACCAGAAGATTGAGTTTTTGTATATAACCTGAAGTTACAATAGGTATACACTTTTATATAAGACTTATATTGCATATTAACTTGTAAGTGAAAAATACACGTTCATAAGTTGTCTTGATGTCAAAAGATCCTACTTCTTTTCTTTTCTATTCAATGTAAAACAATAAAATTGGAAACGACTAAACAGCTCGCATTACGTCTAATTTTGTGCAGCCGTTTATTTGTCTTTTGTTATTTGATCTTTACTTTCCCCCTTGCTTTTTTTTTAAGACATTTATGATATGTTTTGCGTCTTGTTTGCCAACTTTCTTCCAAGGTAATTCGAACCAAGAGAGGATATTCCTCCTTTAAATTTTCATAATTCAATACGTTTGATGAATTTATACATCAGTGAACAGTGTTTTTTTTTGTTTTTTTGGAAGTTCATACCACAAATTCACTTTGAGCTCATACTAAAAATAATTTCGGTATTCAATAAGTTTGATAAATCTCTAGTATACATGTCCAATTTCTAGAGAAGAGTAATTGATATCTTTGTTAACAAGAAGATGGAGGTATCCACTTATCACCTTGAATGAAATTCTCAACTGAGTAAGAATTAACATGTTCAGCTGGAATTTGACTACTCCATGTCACTCGCCCTGTTATATTAGCCCCAGCACCACTATTATTAAACTCTCCATAGTAAAGTGTTGCCAAAGCAAACTCGCCATTCCAAGGCATCCATCCTTCAGAATTAATCAAAACCTCCAAATTACAATTTATAAATACCGTCCTCGAGTACTCTTTCCATGGCCTTCCAAGAAAAGTTTTGTGCACTTTAGGATTACTATGGTACAATGTCATGTACTCTTCAGTTCCATTAATTGAACAATTTTGGAACACATATCCAGTTGATTGTCCGGGGTCTAGTCTACCGTGTGCTGTTACTGCATTTTTCTCACCCTTCTCTGGATTGAGTAATCGGGGCGCGACAAGAATGTTGCAGTCCTGGAAAATTGCAGCTGCGTTACCAAAAATGAAGTCTACGTTACCTTGAATGCGACAGGATTTGTAGTATTGGCGTAAGGATTGGGTGTAGAGAGTGTCTTGATTGCCGAGGAACTCGCAGTTTTGGATTATGGAAAGATCGCTATCTGATCGAAAGGCTACTGCTTGTCCAGCACCAATACCTGCTGTGTTTTGGATTGTTAGGCCACTGGCCATGAATCCATCTCCACTTACTCCTGTTTTAGAAAATGCTCGTCAGAAGATTTCAACCAACAACAACAACGATATACCCAGTGTAATCTCACAAATGGGGCCCGGGGAGGAAAATGTGTACACTGACCTAACTCCTACACTATCAGAAGGAGAATAATGTGTACGCACAGCGTACTCCAACCTTATAAAAAGAACTCAACCACCAAAAGATTATCAAGTAATAGGAGCCATTGGTGTAAAACTGAGTGGTGCTTTTAGTTCTGAACTCAAAATGACACTCTATAGTCTCTCTCAAAATAATACCCGGGAAAATGTATACTTTTTGTATATATATATACATGTTGATACAACAATTATACAAATTTTATACACTTTTTCAGCTACCAATTTAAATAGTTTTTTATGCGGGCTAAAAGTGATAATACCCCAATATTTAGTTTGGACCAGGTTTAGTACCTTCACTAAATAAATGACTAGAGGTACTGTTGTATGGGTCAAAATCTAATCAAATGAATTCTACTCAGGGAAGAGCAACCAAGAAGCAACCAAGCCAAAGTCGCGTGTAGGAAGCGATATGCCGGCAAATGATTTAGCTACGGTCGAGGTCGAGCACTCAATTCGATCCGAACGGCTAGTTCAACACTTAGATATTCTAGAGGAATATTCTATGGGATATTCCAAGAACTTAGGTACTCCAGTTAAGGACCGCTGGGTAAGGAAAGTGTTTGGTATAAATATCATGAGAAAGTGTGACATAAGGGGGGAAGAAGCACATACACACACAACAACATATACATCCCTAGAAAGATAAAGAAGCTCCCAAAACCTCAGGCTCCTGACCGAGGAAGGAGACGAGAGCTTAGAATGTCGATATGCATCTTTAATTCTATTTTATCAAACGGAGGGAGAGCGGTCTTGTTTGAGCATGGCGATTCTTTTCCTTTATGTATACTTCACTATCATTTGGTGTTATTGGAGCAGTTATCTATTTCTTACCTTGTGAGAGTCAATCGCTGTTGTAATCAAAATTTATGTTTAGTTGTGCTTGTTCATTCCTATCATTTATCTCAGATCTAGAATTAATTATCTTTGGCTAAAATTTGCCCCAAATCTTTTTATTAAATTGGTTTAACTAAAAGGGCCTAACACTTTTTAGTCAAACAATTTGGCGCCGTCTGTGGGGATTTTTCTAGCCAAAATTTTAGTTTCCTCTAGATCTAATGTCAGTCAGAGTTCCACTTCCCGGTTGTCGTAGCCTCGCCCTCTCATTACAAACACCAACTTGAGAAATTTGTAGGCAAGCTTTTGAAATAGCCGAGCCAACCAAGGTCAGATCTTTGCATGAAATCGAAATTATGTTTGATGTCTATACGAAAGCCGCGTCTTGTTGTAGTAATGGGTTTGGTACATCGTGAGTATGAGTTGTCAAAGTAGGATTATGGACACTACGCACTGAGCACGTCCATAATCCTACTGGCTGTATTTACATTAGATACTAATCTATACTTTATGCACACTGCCCCCCCCCCCTTCTGGGAAAGGGACGATAGCCTATTGTGTAATTCTTTGAAATAACAAGTTTGTCCTGCCCGTATATACGAAGTATAACTTATGTTTCTCTTATTCTTGTGCACCTGGGACTGGATCAGACCGGGACTCGAACTCGAGATCCCAACGAGCAAAGTAAGTTGTCAGCCCATAAGATGCCCGGACTCGACTAACAACGAAGCTAAGCACGAGGCTGAGATCAAATCTAAAGCGAGCATTCGAATACAGGGCGAAATGAATCGTTCTACAGCGCCCCTCTCCTCGTGCCAACCGATTAGGTCAAGGTAACAAGCGATTTAGTTTGGGTTTAAGTTGTTATTTTTCTTTTGGATGGGGATAGAAACAGGAACATTCTCCCAGATGCGCGAACAAGGAACAAATGCCATCAAAACAACGCACCAAGAAAACACTCCGTACCATACCATCCTGCAGGCAACGGTCGAGTAAAATTCCCCCCCCCCCCAAACGAGTTGATGCTTAACGCCATAAAGGGAAAAACCTATATAGACTGGGACTGGGTCACCGGCCCTGAAAATATATGAATCTCTCCAACAAGTTGGTGCTTAACGCCATAAAGGGAAAGACCTGTGTAGACTGGGACCGGATCACCGGCCCAGAAAACATACGAATCTCTCCGGCATGCAGAAAAAACATAAGTGTGTAAAACTCACCTATGCGCTCGCCAAAACAACTATGCAATGGTACAACTAGCTAAAATTTGATCTCGTCCGTACATTAAGTCGTCCCGAAGCTTGAGCAAGACATTCTTCACCCCGCCTATCGACTACTTCTCTAGGCCAAGCGATGAAGGGATTAGACAGAGGACTCCTCGAATGTACGCATGGATCGAATATAAACATGTAATATTCTCCAATGAATAAACAAAGCAGTATGACATTCCTACACGATGCCAAATGTACACAACCACGCCAATGCAAAGGAAATATACATTCAGTCTCACTTGAATTATTTTCTATGACCTCGCTCGAATTAGCAGACAAAATCCGACCTCGCTCGAATTGACAAAACAAAATTTGACCTCACTCGAATTAGAATGTCAAATCTGACCTCGCTCGAATTAACAAGATAAAATTCGACCTCGCTCGAATTAGCACGTCAAATCTGACCTCGCTCGAATTAACAAGACACAATTCGACCTCGCTCGAATTAGCAGGTCAAATCTGACCTCGATCGAGCTAACTACCAAAAAAGTCAGGGACTTATTACGAGAAAATCCAAGGAATTCGAAAAGAAAAAACAAGGAAGGGCCAAAGGTATACAATCATTGGGCAAACCAACTATTTTACTTAGCGTCTTACAAAGGACCAAAAAGGGGCCCCCAACCAACCAAGTACAAGAGAAAAAAAAATACAAGAGCTTCATTCAGCATTATCCCCGTCCACGTCGTCATCTCTCCCTCCGCTTGGTTCAGCAGCTTCACCTACACCATCACCTTCTCCATCAGAATGTTCCTCATAAAAGGCAAGCCCGTCCTCGGCCTCTTCAACTCCACCGGCCTCCGGCGTCGCGGGATCATAACCACAGGCAAGCCGGGCCTTGCGCGCTTTAGATCGAGCCTCTTCGAAAGCAACCTTAGAGACATTCCCCGCTGCCAACAAGCCCTTATATATATCCCGCTGAGCCTCAGCGTTAACCCACATCTCGTACAAAGGGCGAGGAACGTCAATAGAGGCAGGCGCTGAGGAGTCGAAGCCAACAATTGCGCCTTCTCCGCCTCAAGAGCAATAACTTGATCATCCAGGCTCGCGACGTCCCTCTCAAGCTCGCCAATCCGCTCGTCAAGCCGCGCCTCCCTCAGAACGGCCGTCTCCACTCAATGGCACGTTCAAACCGGAGAACGCGGATAGTATCTTCCAGCGTCGCAGCCTTCGCCAAGGTCGCTACTTGGGCTCCTTCAACCCTCTACAGCTCGGTCGCCTTCCCTTCCAATTCGGATCACCTTCTCCGCCAATTCAACACTTAAACCGACGACCCTAGTATCACCCTTCTCAAGCTACGCCTGCAGGGCCACTACCTTTGCCTGAAGGTTGACACACTCAACTGCAACACCCTTGCCCATCTCGAGCTCTTCTTCCTTAGCCCTAAGCAGCCTCTCGAGTTCGCTGCATCTGCTCATGGACCGCATAAGGTCCTCGTCCTTCCGTTCCGACTCCTCCCAAAGGGACTAAGGATCGCCGCCCGCCCTGAGTCGTGCATGCATCTCACGACACTTGTCGCGGAATCGGTGGTATTCTGAAACCATTTTCTAAAAAACGGCAGCCCGCCTCTCCTCGCGGCGGATACTCTCCGTCTCCAAAATAAAGGTTTGAAGAAAGAAAAGAGAACAGAAAGAGAAAATTAGCAAGAGTAGGAGACGTAAAACGAAGAAAGAAATAGACTTGCCCTCAAAGCCATTCCGGCTACGCCCCGTGATAGGCCGGCATCACTGATCTCCTGAAGGGACCTGCTTTCAGTAGCGGAACAAAGAAGGGCAAATTGAGGCACCAGGCTCACCGTGTCCTCCAATAAGTCACACTCGGGGGCAATTCTCGATCACGCAGGAGGAATCATCCGTCCCTGTACGACTACGCCCTTTTCCCTCTCGCTGGCCGAAGAGGGAGCACGGGCCTATTGTAAAGTCGATGGACCACACGGAATAATCGCAGCAGCCTTCGAGTTCTGCCCCTCTGCCATGGTAGATTCTTCCACGCTGGAAACGGGGCACCACCTCCAAGCCCGAGGGGATACGGTCTCCTCACCTAAATTGGCATCACCAGTAGACTCAAGCACTGCCAACACGGGTTCGCTCCTCGAAGGCCCCCCGGTCCTGGGTACCCCATCTGCCCTTATTCTTTGCCTCTTTAACGGAGCCTCTTCGCCGTCGTCCTGAGACGACTCGTCCACCAAATGAACCACGAGAAGCGGAGCCTCAGCTTGATGAGCATCCTCACGACGGCCGAGCACGGGAGGGGTCGTAGTTTGTAAAGCAGCGGCGGTCTGAGCGCTCTCATGTGCAACCGCAATCGGTGCAGGTCCGGTCGAAAGACTCGACTAACGGAAAGCAGGCACGGGAGCCCTCGCCCTCCCCGTGCCCCGTCGACCTACCAAAGAAGGAAGCTTAAACTAAAGAGGAAAACACTGAGCAAAGGGCAAAACAACTAAAAGCAAGACGAGATGACTAACCAACTGAAGGTCTACGCCCGAATCTCTCATCGAACATCGACTATTCCCGAATCCCCATCGTATAGGGAAAAATCTGGCTCACCCACTCACGAATATCAGCGACTAGCGAGGGAGGTGCCTTCTCAGCTATGAAATAGAAGAAAAAAGAACAATCAGTTCACCGGAAGGGGACAACGAGAAGCCGCTTTCTAAAAATATATATATATCAACAAAAAGACACTTACGGGAAAAATTTCACTCCTCAGGAAATCCGTTAGGATTCGGCACCACATGCTCCGTCCTCACAAAGAAG